GATTCTATTATATACCAAAAGATCATAACGTTTTTATTTTAACATGGGAAGCTTTATTATATGACACCACCCACAAATAAAGTCTAAGCAACCCCACTTCTATACTATCTGATATGAATGGGTCGTTGTGTAAGCATGGCAATACGGGCCTGACAAGTTTTACGGGACTGACAAGTTTTACGGGACTGCCCTTTGTACCTTTGTGACTGCCAGAGCGCGGTGGAGTGCCCTTTGTAACTGCCGGAGCGTTGTGGACCTTCTACTGCTGGACCGCCCCGCCGAAACGCTAACTGACGGAGTACCTTTGCTACTAACCCTTTGCTATTACCAGAGCCACATATCATTCGTACCTTTTGGTAAGCTCTAAGCGCTGTGTCATTCTACTGCAGCACCCTTTGCTACTACCAGAGCTCTGCCGGAGAGCTCCCTTTGCTACTACCAAAGCGCTGCAGTCATTCTACTGCCAGAGCACCCTTTGCTACTTTGCTACTATTGCCAGAGAGCACCCTTTGCTATTACGAGAGCGCTGTGTCATTCTACTGCCAGAGCACTCTACTGCTATTTTGCTACTATTGCCAGAGAGCACCCTTTGCTATTACGAGAGCGCTGTATCATTCTACTGCCAGAGCACTCTTCGCTACTACCAGAGCTCTGTCAGAGAGCACCCTTTGCTACTACCATAGCTCTCTACTGCCAGAGATACCAGAGTGCAGAGCTCTGTGTCATTCTACTACCAGGGTGCCCTTTGCTACAAACGGAATGGATATGCTGATCCGATTTGCCACAAACGGAATGGATATGCCGTTCCGATTGGAAGGACGTACGTGAGGTACTGAGAGAAAAGACATGGGAGAAGAGAGAGCTGTAGAGAAGAGAGAGTTACAGCTGTTTCAATACTTGGTTGGATCTTGATGAGTGCCAGAAGTTGAGTGACTGGCTATGGAGTGGTAGTGGAATGCGAGAGGTGGATGGAAAGTTTGAGACGGTTGTGTATCTGCTGCTGAACCTAACAGCTCGGACTTGGATCGTGGGGATCGCCGGAATACTTTGTATGAAACTTACGAATATCGATTAGATCCGAGATCTGTTTCTGTTAGCATTCTCAAGGCCTTGAAGGGGACTTGAATATCAACTCAATAAGCATTCTCAATGCCTTGAAGACGCTCGAACCTCCGCACTCTTTAGCACACCATCAAGGCATCTTGAAAGTAGATTGTATCCCATGAATTCGATATGCAACGATATAGTATTTCTTCATTTTATTCCCATCCATTCAAAAAAGTTCTTTTCTTTATACCTAGGGTAAATTTCTTGATAACTCATGGGATAAATAAGATCTTTCTTATCAATAATTTGATGATAATTCGTTCCAGTCTTGGTGTTTTTGTAAGTTTGAGACGGTTGTGTCTGACCAAGCTCGACTACTATAGCATGATAATACAGGCTATGAAATAGGAGGATGTGTATCTGGAGGTTGATGTGGAGGAAGCAAAGGGAGAGAGAGGGCAGGAGAAGAAGAAGAAGGGGCACCATTCAGAAGTTGAAAGATAGGTTCAAGAAGATGCTGCTGGTATGTGCTTCTTTGTTTTTTTTTCTTTTTTCTCTTTTAATCTCTCTGTCCTCTAATCTTCTTTTTTCTTTCTCAACATGTTTCTGTCTATTTTTCTCGCTCTAAATTTGTTCTCTGTGGGTACTCTTATCCTCTTTTCTTTTCATTTCCCTCCAACTCATGGTCACCTGTTTTTTGAGGTGATTTTTGAAATAAAGTAAAAATATCACTAAAATATGAAATAGTTCATCCCTTAAATGCATTTTGGATAAGTTTTCTTTTTTCTTAATTTTTAATTACATTCCAGTTCGATGAAAAGTTTTAGGCATTGACCTCCCCTCCAAACGTAACCTTATTCATAGTTTGCCATGTTTGTTATTTTCACTTTTCATTATGTATGATCACATCACTGTATATTGAATACCCGTAGTCCGATTTCAAATGGGCCTTTCGGTATATGTTTGGTATGTGTGGTAAAACGCATACGAATGGAAAAAACGTGGCCTAATTAACTTTGTGATTCTACTATACACCAAAAGATGTACGTAAATGGGACATTCACATATTTGAATAAAACTTAGGAGCATTTTCGCAAGTGGAAGCTTTACATGGGAAAAAAAACAAATGAGGAGGGTTGGGCGGGCCAGCACTGGCCCTAGCCATATCCTCGAGCCGCAATTTGTGGCTCAGACCCTACTTTTTTTTAGGGCCGGGCCAGGCTAGGCCGCCTGGCCCATTGCTAGCCCTATTCATATTATGTTGTCATGTTAAAACATTGTTTATTTTTTTATTTTATTTTTTCCTACACAACATTTTCGGGCCAAATTTGGGGTGCCCCCTCTTTCTATTAGGGCACACAAAGAAAAAATTAAAAAAAATATATATTTTTTATGAAAATAATTTACTTGACCAAAGAGCCCCCCTAAGTTCTAGAGGTATTATAGTAAATAAAATATTATTTAAAATATATTTTTATTGTTTTACCCTCGTTAGATGTACGCACATCCAAACTTTACTGCAACATAATTTATACAATAAACAATAAAAAATAAAACACTTTGGACCATTAGATCAAGATCTGACCATCAAGAGCAAGCTTATGACATTGTGGCTCAAGCTATCCCTGTCATCTACCGGGGTCATGTATGCTATGGGCAAACCTAAGGATATAACCGCAACCTAAGGAAAAATATTGATATCAATAAATCATGGGAAAGCTTTTTATGTTTCCTTACAATATATAAGTTCTATCCTCCTTTTATCTAACCTTTCATTTTTTAATGGAGGGTTAAGATTGCCTCAATCACAATGTCACGTATTTACATTATTTTATTTTTAATTTTTTTTATATGAACTATTTTGACACTAAATTTTGGATATTCATTCTTTTATTAAACTTACACTAATGAAAAATATAAAAAAATATTTTCAATAAAATAAAATGACTAGAATACCCCTGAAAGATTTAAGGGGTATTTTGGTCATTATTTTTTATCAAAAAATTATTGTTAATATTTTTTATAGGTGCGCCCCAATGAGAAGATGGTACGTACCAAATTTCATATTCAAAAAAAAATTGTATTGAAAAAATTAAAAATAAAATACATTGAGACATCGGATCTAAGATCAAACGGTGAGTGGCTCTCTTGATAAAAAATAGATGGCTGGATGGTAGAAAGATGATAGAACTTCTATGTTGTAGGGGGAAAAGCTTTCCCATAAATCATATGCCTTTACAATTGCTTAAGGGTGTTAAAATCTTAAGGGCAGTTTGGATGATACTTAATCTTATTTGGAATGGACAATCTTCTCTAAAATTGACATAGTTTGGATAATATTGTTTTATTATTTGTTTGGTACATATCTTGTGTTATGTATATAATATTATTATTTATTTAACATTTTCAATTCTGATAATATTATTCCATTATTTGTTTGGTACATATCTTGTATCATATATATAATATTATTACTTATTTAACGTTTTCAATTCGTAACATTTTTATATGTATTTCTAGGAAAAAAAATGATTTTAATAAAATACTTTAAATAAAGTAAAAAATAGTCCTTAAAAACAATAAATTTATAAATAAAACTTCCTATAAATTCATCTCATATAACTTTATGTTGTACGCATTATAACCTTTTTGAAGTTCCAAAAGTACTACAAATCTAATGGATCTATAAATGCTTAATATTTGATAAATAGTTTTTAGAGTTCGGAATCCGATGCATAATTGTAGATAATCAACTCGAAAATTATTTTGTACCAAAAATAAGTTTTGTAGTTGGGTTTCAAGGTGCTGGCCCTACCATTTATCAAAAGCCCAATTAAAAGATTATCTGGCACTAGAACTATGCATTCATTCCCCTAGGATTTTTGTGGTGGCTTCACCTTTATTGTGAGGCATGTGCCTTATATAATATTTTCCTTTAAGACCAACACTTTACAATAAAAAGTAGCGCATTTTGCAACTCACCATTTTCAAACATTTAAAAATCGACTAATTTGCATTATTTTGAAACATTGAATTTTATAATCATTGTAAAAAAAATAAAGGCAAATTTTTTTAAAAAAATTCGTGATAACAAAATAAATACAAAAAAAAATCATCATCATCCGAACCTTGTCTCAAATAAAATAAAAAAAAATTAAAACATATATCTATTATTTTAAACGTTATTATAATTCCACATAAAATTTTCTGTTATTTTTATATCCATTGTTACAGCAGTATTTTAAAAAAATCACTAAATTGCTCTTTCTAGATTCTCAAGATCCAAAATTTATTTTTACATGAACTATGATTAATTTTTTTGGATTTTCGAATTATAAAATAAGAAATAAAGCAATTTAAGATCCAAAAATAGGGAAATTACGGACTTTGAATGTCCAAATTGGTTTTGTTTTGTTTTTTGGTTTTTTCGATTTTAAGATCTAAAAATATAGAAATTTCATTTTTTTTTTTCCGATCCTAAAGATTTGAAAATATGGTAATTTCGGACCTTGAAGTTCTAAATTATTATTATTATTTGGATCCTAAATATCCAAAAATAGTGCAATTTAAAAAAAATAATAATTGGAGCTCCTAAAAACGGGTATACGCTTCATATCTAAAATTTGGAATATAATAAGTGAAAATTTTAGAAAAAATACTAATAGCGCTTTAAATAATATATACCTATAATTTCCACACCGAAATTTCATCTTTTTGATAGACATTTTTTATGAGATTGTATACAATGAAACCATTTATGTTTCACATAAGGAGTTCATAATTATTTATAACTATCATGTGAAATTTATAGCTTGGATGTCTCACAGAGTTCAAAATGTTTCTTTTGAAATTTGTAATCGGTTAATGGAATAAATGCAACCATTAAATTTCACTGGAATAATTGTAACCCGCTTTGCACCAAAAGGTTAATGATCTTATTGGATACTATTAGCTTTTTTTTTTTTTTTCATCTTTCTTCTTTTATGAGAAACCATAACCTATCCCATCTCACATGTTTCTGATGGAGAGAGGATACCACCACCACATATCAACTTATTTTCATCGAAATCAAGACTCATCAGAATGCCGACAACAAAAATTTTCTTGATCCCATTAGATGAACTCTCCCTCTTTCCCCCCTGATCTCTCTCCCCGGTCTACAGAAATCTTTCACGCCGCATAAGACCCCGGAATCTGACCCACAATGGCCGGAAACCTATCGTCGAAGCCTAACCATTCATCTCAGTCTGTCCCACTTTCTTCTCACTCTATTTTTCTCACTTTCTCACTCTATCTTCCAAGCATACAAGAACAAGCAAAACCCTGTCAAACCCTCGCCGGAAAAATGCCTCTGTTCACCGGAATGCGGCGAATCAGGCTTGAATATGAACAGAGCATGACCTGAACCAATCCCAAAGATCCAGTCATGAACGTCCCAAAACACCTGAACGGGTAATTTGTTCACCATTATCGTGTCATTTCCCCTGAATTTCCACTGCAAATTGTTCACCTGAATCAAAACCATGCCATCAATGCTGATCCATAGCTCATGATTCAGAATTCCATTAACTGGGCATTCGATTATGATCTCATGAGCTTTGTTTACTCTCTCATCAAATCTCGCTCTGGTTACAAAGCTTCTCTTTCCAAAAACGTGCTCTCTCTTTGATAACAGCACTGCATCTGTCAAAGACGGCCTGGCCTTTGTTTTCTTGAAGGCTTCTTTTTTCAAATCCCCCATTAAAAGAACAACCTCCTCTTCAAAGACAAGAGCAACATAGAAATCAGCAAACGGTTCAGGGCTCCCTGAAAATTTAGCAGTTCTCAAATCCCAGTAGAAATCGAGCTTTTTGCCATCGATTTCAAAGGATTTGAACCCCTTTTTGCTCCAAAAGTACCATGGTTTGAGCTCGATTTTGCATGTGTAGTGATTATCTGAAGTGCCCGGTTTTTCTAGGGCAATAGAGAGGTCATGCGCCATTAGGTTTTTACACCAGGTCACTGTCACTAGACGCCGGAATCCTGCGATTTTTGCTTCATAGAGGCAATTCACGGTGCTCTGGTTCAATTTTCCGGCAACATTGGACGGATCTTCGGCCGGTTTTTCGCCGGATAAACCAGTGGGAATGTGGACGGAGTCTTGCATTGAATCGAACTTAAGAATGTAATCAGGGATATTTTCGTCAATAGGTGACAGAGAATTTCAGGTTCGAATTTTGATGGCGGGATAAGGGGTATTTTGGTAAACAATCAGAACTTAAGGGAATGGGACGAAGGGTAGTCCCTGCAAAACAGATTTACGAAGGGGTGAATCTACGAAGGGTCATTGGTTCAAGGGCATTTACGTCAATACAAAATTTTACGGCATTATAGAAAGTCCATGTTCCAGAAGGGGTATTTTAGTCAGTTTGGAAACTACAGAGTACAAAGGCCCTTCACGTGTGACACAGGGTGGCCAGGTAATTCTGATGCCCAACTAAGGGTATTATTGACATCCACAAAGGACGGCGAGGGCATGTTCGCCATTTATTAGAGATGAGGATTTTGGTTCCAAACCGGACCACAAGAATTCCTATATCATCGTTCACCGGAAAGTCAATTCCCGGACAAGTACAATTTTCCCTACGAAAATTTTAGTACTTCAGAGAATATTGTCAAAATTTTCCGATCACAGATTTATGCCGGAAAGTAAAGATCTCTAAACAGGAAATAAATACATCAAAATGGCCTGAAAATTCCTACTAATTTTGCACTTCGAATCTCAATGCAATTACCAGAAATTCCTGTTCATTTTTCAATCCGTTTAATTCAATTGCCTGAATTCCTGTTTATTTTCCAACCCAAGCTTAATTTGCCCGAAAGAGACACTCGCACTCTTCGCCTGAGAACAAGAAATCCCGCTTAATCTGCCAGAAAACCACCGGAAAATCTAAAAACTCGCTAGAAACATTACCATCGAACACCAGACAATCTCTGAAAACAAGAAACTCATGTGGAATTGGCCAGAAATTTGTAAAGGAAAGAATTTTATCGGACAAAAAAAATTACCTGCTTTTTCCAAAGCTCGAATAAAAAATTTTCTTCCCTTTTCCATGAACTAAATGAATAATATTGGGATAAATAAAAAAGTTAAGATTTAAACGGAAAAAGGGCAGAGGCATACCAGATGACATGGTATGATACGTCTTGGCCAGAAAAATCACCGGCAAATTGCTAAAAACTCAAACATGACTCCAAAATTGCCCCATTTTCGTCGGATTCTGAGGAGACGAACGGGTGAAAAAGAACCAGAAAGGAGAGAGGGCCTTCACTCCAAATGCCGGTGATTTTTTCCCTCTAATAAATAATAAATTTGCTCTTTTTTCTTAATTTCTAATGGAATTGCGAGTTTGACGGCGGCTTCAACAACCACGTCAGCACGTATCATGTAGACACGAGGCGCGCGCTCATTGGGAAATTCGTTTTGAGGTCGTCTCTAACTTTGACGACATGCGTACCCATGTAATGCAATATAACGTCCATGACACGGCAGAGTCGTTGATCTTGAGGGGGCCGCACCTGACCACCCAGGTTCACAAAGGGCCAAACGACTCTCTAAATGCAGTTTTTTTATGTATATTTTTATATGAAAATTTTTTGGAAAAAGTTTTATATGAGTGCGAGGCTCTAAACAATCAAATTAAGGCACCTCAAAAATTTCATTTTGATGCCTTAAAAATCCTCAAATTCATCATCTTGACATCAATACAAGGACATCAGATAAAAGTGGTTTTCAAGTTTTGAAAATAGTACATCTTATAATACATTTTTGAATGGTTAATTTTCAAATTTTCATAGATTTGCTCAATCTACACTATTTTTTAAGCTTGAAATTTTATAATTAGAAATAAAAACATACTTAAGGCCATCACAAAAATTTCCAGTAATGAAACCACATTTCTCGACACTATTTAAAGGTGCGCTTTACTTTGATTGTTTAGAATCTCGCCTCTATACAAACCGCAACCCATATTTTTATATACAATATAT